GGTTTATGTCTCCCAGTTGAATTACGCAAGGCTATGCTCCACGGATGAAAAATTTCTTAAACGAGACAAGCTTTCAACAAAGAAAGTGATGAAACAAGAATATCAAGTCTCGTTTAAAGTCATCATTTCGCAATCAGCAAATACAATCTATCAGTAAGCCGAATGCTGACTGGAGTTTTTTTTAATACTAATTGTTAAGCTACTGGTATGCAAAACATACACAAGATGCTTACGCTATATAATTTTCTATTTTTCATTAGTGTACAACTTTTCCTTCGCCAAGCGCTTGGCACATTGGAGTGAAAGTTGAAAGTGTCTTTCGGATGAGACCTTAAAAACCTAGGCCCTGTGTCACGGTAGGCGTTGGCAGGATAAAGAACCTTCACTGCTCAATGGCACTGAGTGCCGAGTAAAGGTCTTAATTTGAAGCCCTTTGTCGGTATATAGGTACATCTCTATATGAGTGAAAAAAAATTCTGGAACAGGACGTAAAACAACATAATAAATCAATCAATAAACACTAGATTTATTTCGCTCTGTAAATTTACTAATTCAGCATTTTCAATAATATTATTACATGAAACAATCCGAATATCTCAGCACTGATTGTACACTTCACGCGGTACACAAATATAGTCAACCATAGAATGACCTCTTGTCCATTGAAAACTAAAATCATTTGATTCATCATAAAATCTACCCTTCAGAATGCAGAACTTACAGACATTAAGAAATTCCATGAATGGATTTCCACGTTGATTTTCAACACTGTCAATGTATAGTTCGGGGGGTATACAAACAAGGCCCTTATCAAAGTCAGGTTGATAGATACGATACAATGCAAGAGTCATTCAATAAGGTATGCAATATACAAGATATATATATACAATATGCAAGATGTTTTAAATTTTTATCGGTGAAAAGTTTATTCTATTATATGTTTTCAGGATACCCATTTTATTCTTGAATTAGAACCATTTGTTGAAGCCATGTTGGGGTATAAATGTTTTTTTGCACTCATTTAAATCATTTCAAGAGGAGTATTTATATTCTTTAATAATAACTTTGAATTCAAAGTGCACCAAGAAAGGAGAGACAATGAGGGAAATTTAATTGCTTTAGAGTTAGATATAGAAGATAATACGGTTACTCTCATAAATATATGTAAGGTCCAAACACTCATAGTCCTGGGTTTTATGAATATGTTCGTGATATGTTTTTTGAACTTGATAATGAATATTATATACTCTTAGGAGACTTCAATCTTGCTTTGAATCCTGAGCTAGACACAAAATTTATAACTTAATAATCCGAAAGCTAGGGAAAAATTGTTGGAAATCATGGATGATCTTCATTTATTAGACTACTTCAGAATTATGAATCCAGATGGAAGGGTTTATACATGGCATAAAAAGACACCCCTAAAACAAGGTCGTTTAGATTATATTTTGATTTCTGAAAGTTTGTCCAATTCCGTAGAAACTTAGTGGATTAAACCTGGTTGAATTTGAAAAAGCATTTGACTCAATTTCCTGGACCTTTATTTATAAAGTATTAATTTTTTGGCTTTGGTGAATATAAAATTGAATGGACTAAGATTCTGAACACAAAATTTAAGGCTTGAGTGTCACAAAGTGAGTTTTTATCTGATCAGATTGATATTGAGAGAGGACGTAGTGACACGGCGACCCTGTTGCACCATATTTGTTTCTCCTTTGTGCTGAAATTCTTGCAATCTTAATTAAAGAAAATAAAAATATAAAGGGTATCACGCGTGTCAAAAACATAAAATAAGTCAGTATGCTGATGATACATCTCTTGCACTTGATGGTTCTCCTAAATCTTTGTTTGCTTCCTTGGATACCTCAGATTTCTTCTCAAAAATATCTGGTTTAAAAGTAAAACAGCTCTAAAACAAAAATAATATGGATAGGCTCAAAAAAGTTTTCAATTCCTAGATGGAAACTCGACTGGGACTCCACAACTTTTAACTTATTAGGTATTAACTTTTCAGTTGACCTACAATAAATTACAAATTTAAATTATGGCATACAGATTCCAAAAATAAAAAGCATGATACAACATTGGAAAAGAAGAATTCTAACACCAATATCTGAATATCTGAGAAGTTTCCTTCTCAAAATGCTTATGTTCTTAACCTTTACTAAAAATGAGGCGAGTAGACAAATAAGAGTTATTATGAAAAGATCAAATATTCTATAGGTATCAGTATTTTGTGTTGACAGAAAAAAAAAGATGTAAAAAATTCTCACTAATAACGTTACTGCTTTAAGAAACAAAATTTAGCACTGCGAGGTTAGTGTACAATCCACTCTAACGATGCTGTGTCTAAACAAATTAAACAAATATATTGCAAATATGACAATATTAAAATTATTATATACTATATCTGAAATTATTTGCTTTTAAACAGTTCGTTATCAATCAGAGAAGAGTGCACGAAAAGGTAATTAAAAAAATATTCCTCATCTAGATTATATATTAATCATAGAATTTTAATTCGATGACAACATAGTTTGTGAGTCCAAAAATTTAAAAAAAAAATGAATTCACGGCCTGTTTTTCTGTTACCCTTATAATGAGTAAAAGTTAATATTAGACAGTGTCGGATAATGCATTATACGCATTAAGAAGTTATCGAAAAGGCCACAAGAAGGTATCTTATGTATATATAAAGATCAGTCTCCAGAAGAAAATTATTGTCGATTGTACATTAAATAACCTGGTTAATGAGCAACAAATTAAAATTTTATTGATATGCATACACGTTTTATGACTTGGGAAACCTCGCCGAATAATCTCAAATAAGGATGCTCACTCCTCCTAGGCACCTGATCCCACTTCTGGAATTTTCGGCCGGGATCTGTGTTTATAACCTGTTCACACAATTGTATTGTTTGTAGTTTTTATGAGATCGATTCCTGTTCGTTATCTTCGCCTTTTTTATTAGATATTTTATCTCGGACCGTAGATATTTTGTTCGCTTCTTGTGATGCATTTTGTACCATTAATTTGCTAATGGCAAGACTACTTTGCTAGTATTGTAATTATTTTATGGTTTAAAGATACAAAAGATGATTTTCATTGTGTGAAGATCTATATAGTGATATTATATACATGTTTATATTTTAAAGGGTGTGGAAAACTAAGTTCACCACAGATGCACACAACATCCTCTTTTCCAATTCTGAAGAAATTTTTTTCATTTTTATTGAGAACAATTATTTCTGTTAATAAGCACTTTTTATGAATGAACGCAGAAGAGTTTATGAGCTTCAGGTTTTTCTCAACTCTGTGTGATTTTCTGTGTTTTTAGTTTCGGTAATTTCCTTTTAAAATAAAAAGTGGAGATAACGGATAGTGTTCAACCTCATTAATCAAGTATACAAAACTAAGCACGAATCACGTCTTTTGGAATTACCAGAATCAGGATCACATGCATAGATGTCAGCATCCCCTGTCAATCCTTCGTGAGCCCTATGTATTTATCTGGTATATGGAGTATTACAGCATTGACCTAACAAATGGTATGAAACATGTCAGCCAAAGTACGGCCCAATGATAGGTTGTTTGTACACACAAGGTCATTATAACGAGCGTAGAATCTGAGAAAATCTTACTTTAAATAGCGTTATTGAAATCACTGCAACATTTCTTTATTTGTCAGTAGATTTCCTCCGTAAAATGTTGATCGTATTCAAAGCATACTATATATAAGGGAAATTTGATAATGGAAAAGCTGAAATCATCACGTTTGTCATACAGTTCAGTTATTTATTGGAGGTTATCATCTATAGAGTCAGAAAAAACATCCAAAAATGAAACAGATGCGACATACTCTGTAATGTTTTTGTTCGGGTTAAAAGGGATTTATTGAATCAAGATATGAATGAAAAAAGCTGTTGTTAATTGAAAGAAAAGAAGTTGCGTTGGGATCACAGCAAAAGTTTTCTTCTTCATATGTAGAGGTTTTTAACAAATTCTTGATTTGAATATGAAATCAGGAATTCAAACAGTTTGTTGGAAGACCTCGTCTCTGAAGCATACATAATTTTTTTTTTTTTCAATGAGGGCCCCAGTATCCTATGATATCAACTTCAGAGTAGTTATGTGTAAAAGCAGAGTGATTTTTAATAAAGTAATTTCTCTGATGAATAATCACAAAAAACGAACATTAAAGAAAATTCGAATAAGGTATCAAAAATATAAAACAGAAATATAAATTAAAAGAAAACTTTGATTTTTTTAAGAATTCAAAAGTTAAAAAAAAAAGATTATGGCATAAAATATCTGTCACTTTCTATGTGTTTGTACATGTAGCATTCTCTTAAAAGTAAATTGGATGCATGGACAAATGTTCAGTTTAACAATAAGTTGGTCCCTGTGTGACTCTCTTATACTTTTAACGCGTCCAACCAATATTCTTTCACCTTCCACTAGCTAGTAGAGGATGTAGAATCGCATGCTTTTAATGTTTTTATTTGTGATTTTTGCATCAATTTATATTGATTCTAGCTCATAAGAAAAAAAATAGAAGAAGCAGGAAAATAACAGAAAGACAACACCATATGATACCCGTATGTACTCCATTTCAAGAACGTATACATCACCGTCACTTGCATGGCAGGCCAGCCAAAGTAAATGACGTAACTATTCTGACGATATTATCTTTCAAGATTAAAAATTATAATCTCATTAAAATTTTTTTGGTCGAAGAGAGTACAAATATCATACATTGAAAATGAAATTGGAAGGACTCATGCTTATACACTTGTGATGTGAATTTTTTTTTTTTTTAATTAGAAAAGTGGTAGATTGGCGACCATGCACTTCCTCTTGTGCAAGGACATATGTGTAACAGTATAAAGATCAGAACTGTGCACTAACTCCTGAGGATATGATTGTCTCTCTTTTCAACGGACATTAATGTAGTGACACATTGATACCGACTGGGATCTTTATTTTCCAAAACATATGTACATGAATAAACCTTCCTTTTAAATATATCTTCTCTCTAATCCAGGACAACGTCGGCATCATTATTGATCTTTATTAAAAAGAATGAGCTAATAAAGCTGATATTTCGAAATTTTGTAAACAAATCAAATATCTTTGCATAAAAATCAATGTCTAACACCAAGATATATTTTTTTAAAGTTTAAAAAACACACATTACAAACAGCATTGCATTACCTATTTCCGTCCATTAAATCCGTTGTATCTGTCTCCTCCACATCCGTATGGTCCACATCCAGATCCTCCATTCTGTCCGTTGTCAGCTCCATTTATTCCTCCATTATGTCCGTTAATTCCATTATCATTGTTGAATCCATTATGTCCGTTAAATCCGTTATCGTTGTTAAATCCGTTGTCATTGTTGCTATTCCATCCGGGTCTTCTACCTGTGATTCTTCCTCCGAACTCTCCTTGCTGGTGGCTGGCCCATTGAATCCCTCCACCTCCTTTGTTTGCACTATTAATTCGACCCCTCCGGGGAATGTATCCACCAGCTGTATTAAGACAGAAAAGACTTAATAAAGTCACCACTACAATTATCACAATAATCACTGCATCAAACACACGAAAAATATATTTCTTTATTTTTAGACTGGATATTTTCTTAAATCTTCAAATTTTCAGTTTATGTAACTCCAAATAAAAATGAGAATGAGAAACTTTTCAGAAGTGCTTGGCAATAATGAATTTATAGCTGATGGTTCAAATTTTCCGATATATATTACTGAAGAGAGAGAGAGAGACTTACGATAGACACAATAGACAGCAGCCACACAGATAAACAGGAGAAGAAGAGCTCGAATCATGGTGCAGGATTCTTCAGGGCAAAAAGTGGTCAGAACCGAAATTGACAGGAGTTTATATATCGGTTAACTTAATTAAAAAATCAATGAAACTAGTGCAATCAGTACTTTGCAAGTCCAATTAGTTATTTTTCCGTCATTTAGAACTATAATTATGCATCGTCATTAAAACTGAAGAATTTTTGAAAATGACTATTCTTAATTTTCCAAATATATGTATTTTACATAAATGTACTGAAGTAATTCTATAATAATTGTAAAGTCAAATTACTTTGAAAAATATTCAACATTATAAAATTGAAAATAGCAATTTGCTTGTTAAAGGAAATGTATGGAATCTGATGATGTTTATGCTTTTGATACATGTTTTTTCAATCATCTTTCTTCCTCTTTTGTTTGCTTGTTTGTTTTTGTTTTTCGTTTTGTTTTATTCTTGTATGTATGTATATTTTTAAATATTGTATGATTTATCTATTTATTTATTATTGCAATGTACGTTTTTCCAATTTAACAGCAGTGTAACACTGAAGTTTGAATAATGAAGTATGTATGTGAGTGCATAATGGAATAAATACACACGAAAGGTTTACTAATAACATTTATCAGGTATTCGTGTCCTGCTTTATGTCCGTGTCAGTCAATTTTATAGACAGGAATGGGAATCTCATTACCTTCATTAAGTGCACATGAGGTACACATTGATATAATTGTATGACAGCTGGAAGTAATTTTGAAAAGTAAACTGAAAAAAATATGCTAGAATTCAAATTTCGTTTTTAATACATTCTTTTGTCTTCAGAAATATTTAAGCAGATTTTTCACTTAACAGACACTAAGACACCATCATTGCTTTTTGCAATTAAATTTCACAGTTTCATTTGATATGTTGCACAAAGTAAGGACTCAAACATGTTCTGATAGATAACATGGACAGGTAAAATTTACAATTTCTTTTCTTTTTTAACAATTTTTATGCGGAAAGCCTTTGAGCTCAGTTTATAGGATTGAAATTTTTAATTACTTTTAAATGCAATAGTTATTGCATTTAAACTAAAAACTATTCAATAAATAATACATAAATGTATATTATATACGCAATAACTTTTGCATTTAAACGCAAATTTAATTTTGTTTGTAATGCGTCATTTGATTAGGAAAAAATATTTAAAAAATTAGTTTATTTAGTATAATCTGTGTTGCCAAAGTCACAATAACACGTCAAATCAATCTGCTTGAAGTTACATTTAAAATATGTAGAAAGCATTATTGAAGGAGAAATTGTCTTATCTTTTACACTTAATGATGGAAAATGAAAATAAAAGGAATGAGATTAATAGCTACCTAAGTTATATTGGTATAACCTGGGCTGAAATAGTATACGCTTTTTTTTATAATCCGCTTCGCGGTTTATAAAGCATAAACTGTCCCTTCCCAGGTTATACAGTATTACTTGGGTAGCTATTAAATTCATTCCTTAATAACTTTTGCATTCAAACGCAAAATTATTGTTTTAAAACGCGAGAGAATGTGTTAAATTATGTTTTGCATTATTCGTTTAAATGCAGGGTACTCTGCGATTAAAACACAATTTTCGCGTTTAAACGCAATCCTAAAGAATGAGTGCACTTTAGTACGTCATTTGGAACCTTTTCGGCTACCCATTTTAAGCTTTACATTACAATATATCGCTTAATTAATCTATGATTATTGTGCAAGCATATTCTTTTGATATTTATTCCTTGAATTTTTTGTCACACATATTTCTATAATTACAGACAATGTCATTGAAAAGAACATATACAAACCTTAAATTCCGGAAATTTGAACGGGACCACTTACGAATTTAAGGTATCCGCAAATAGGCGGAGTCATTTAAATCGCATGGATGTGGAATGTAAACATTAGCACATATATGATTTTTTTTCGCACTGCGAATTTAAATGGAGAAGAGAGAGATTGTGTAGTTTTATGGTGCACAAATAATAAATGATTCTAGTGTTTAGGGATGGGGAAGATGTCTCGCCCTGCAGACCATTATACAGAGGCGACATGAGCCTGTACATGTACTTACTAATCACACTGTCAATACCAGAATTCTTTCAAAACACCCGGTAATGAAAAATACAAAGTAAAATAAGAGACATATAATCTTCAAACCCTATTAAAATTTGCGCAAAAATCTTCCATAGTTTGAAGTTGAAAGTACGATAGATACTGTCGCAATAGAAACTTTCAATAACAAACACAATGAAATGCTCAATGAAAGCCTTAGCGTATCGAACAGTGGAATGTCACGTGAGTAAAGTGATTATAATATCAATCGTTGACACTCGGTGAACTGTTAATTTAGTGGCTAATTCGACCGTAGTTTGGAGACTTTTTCAAAAAATTAGATATGAGCCGCAATTTGTCCAACATTGTCCTTTGGATATGTTGAAGTTTAAATCAAAATACACATTCTGTGCAAATGAGACCAATGGACAAGTTGCGGCTCGATGTAAACAATGTCGTTGAAAACTGGTATGCATATGAATAACAATAGAAATGTGACAAAACTGTTAGACCCTCGTCTCAAAAGCTAGTGTCGCTCGGCATTATCTAATACTTTCATGTAGTATAATATACCAAAACCTGCTCTTAAGACATTGTTTAATACCTATAAAACATAAAGTTTATGAACTTTGGAATTTTATTTTGCGCAAAACACCGGGATCCAGCTCTCATAGCTTAAGTGCACTCATCCTTTGTGTTTAAAAGCCAAACAAAAAAAACCAAAAAAAAACAAACTTTTACTGGCCTCCGTACGTACTTTCATAACCCACCTCTTTTTTGTCAACAAGTTTTACAAATTAATTAAAGTTAACTTTGCTATCCTGTCACTACAATCCTTTTTCACAATTTTCTAGAAACTGTCCAGAACCTTGAAACTTTTGGAAAGTGTTTAATTGTTTAGAAATATTTTTAAAAACATGACGTTTATTTCTAATAAAATCAAAACATTTTTATAAAAATAATAACATTTTTAGTATCAGAATTTTTAGCAATACACTGAAAAACATTCCTTTTAATAATATTCAAGTATAACAAATTCAAGACCCAATAAAAGGAAACATTATGGTTTTTACAATATTTTAAGCCTGGTTCCATAGCGTTCGCTGTGGACCGGACGACGGATGCGCCGATCAGCGCGGAGTAATCACAGGACTGTAACCCAACAACCGCCAAAATAAACATTACGCTTTTCAAATTTGATCAGATTCCGGTCTCATATAATTCATGTTAATGACGCTGGGTTAAACTTTTTAAACCCCAAATATAAGAAATTAGTTTTCTAACGTCAGAAAGCTTTCTTAGGAAAACTAATACCTGTGTGTGAGTAAACTTAACTACTGAGCTGCCATATGTACACACAGGCCACGTGCAACCCAAAATCTAGATGTAGTTTTCTGCCCTTGATTCCAGTCGCTACCACTAGGAATTACAAGGTTTTCATGGCCTTACACCCATTAATCAATGCCAGGGTACCAGTCTACCACAATCAAGTTAGTTTTTAGCTTGATAACACAACCTCTATTTGAGAATGGTGGAAAAGGAAGTATCCGACCTTGTTTGGTGGACGTTGCGATAAGTAGGTATGGTAATGCGATATCTAACACTGAAGTTATACAGTGTTATACAGAGGTGATCAAAACCCTGCTTTTCCCCATAACGGGGAGGAGGTTTAGTGTCGATATTTTCAGTTTCAGGACTCAAACACCCACTGGGTTGCTTTGAATAGTATCATATAGTACCCTCCATATCGGTATGTCTGACATGATCATACAGTTACTTTTATTGCCGGAAATATTTTCCCTGCTATCGATGTATTATAATAAATAAATTATGTCATGTTATCATTAATTCAACTGTTATTTTTCTTCTGCTCTTTTTAGCTTTTACTTTTGTTTCTCATCTTGTGTTTAACTAAATTTTTAATGCATTTAATATATTATACTGTATCACCAAATAATATTTCTGAACTTCTTGTATTGCTGTTATTAAATGTTTGTTTCGTGTAATACGCTACTGTTCACTGCACTGTTAATGATATCCCGGCTCTCTGTACTTCTGAGTACTGTGATTGTATAACAACGTTAAAGCATTTAAAAGCATCTCAATATAACTGACGATCATCAATTACAGTACATAATTCAAATGTTCTTCAATACTTTATTCTGTACAATTGAATAAAATATAAGTAAAACAAAGGTTTTCACTGCATATTTTATTCATTAATCATTAATACATATAGAGATAGATGCATGGAAATTTTGCCTGAAACTTGATGAATAGATTTCAATTGTACAAACAGAGAAATCACCGTTAACGTAGCTGCTGCAAGTTACACATGCAGTTAAAATTTAGAACATATCATGTGGAACCCCTTTTAATGGAATGTCACAAATTAAATCATTTCATATATAAAAATATTAATAAACATCATGCATGATTTAACAATGCTTTATTACATGAACTTTATTGTATATTAGCATGTCATTATTACTAATTGACTCTAATATTCAGAGTATGATAACAGGAATATGAAAGAGAAATAATCTTCATATCGTACTTATTACTCATTCTTTAAAGATTAGCTTTTGTGACACTCATTGTGCGAGGAATCATGTCTTTCTTCATATTTTGTAGGTCTACTCTTTTAATGTTATTTTTACCAAGGGCTCCAAAGCCAAGGCTTTTACTTTCAGAAATCAGATTCGCCTCTGGTACAACCCCGTCCACAATCTTTAGGTTTACAGCTTCTGGGCCTGTTAATCTTTTTGCAAATATAACTGATTCTCTTTTGGCATCAGCATCAAGCTTCCGTCTGAAAACAGAAATTTCTAATATTTTATTTAATGACAATTTCAGCATAAAATTGCATTTTTTTAAACAACAACAATAAATACTTCAAAATACAATGTAAATAAATAAATAAATAAACAACTATCCTGAGTGAGAAAATAATAATAAATCCGGAATTCAAGAGCCAGGAAATATAGAAGTAAGTTTATAAAAAAAACTCACTCTAAAATCTCGATGAGAAATTTTGGAATCCGAGAGCTAATTAAGGTTTCATTCCATGAAATCCATCCTCGATCAGACCGCATTACCCTGTAGTCATGACAAATTGCCAAGAAAGCTCCGCCAGCAAAACAATGTCCTTCACAATATACGAAGGTAAAGGGAAGTAGGGTTAATTACAGAACTTTAGAAAAATACATCAATAAATAGATACATAAATCTAAATCGATTCAAATCAAAAATAAAAAAGAAAATAGAAAAAATGAATGAAAAATTATTTTTATAATTTTTATTATATATGCGAACTCAAAACAAAAGGGGACAGCAGTTTTCAGATACTGATAAAATTAAGATTTCACTAAAACCTACCATTTATTGCTGCCACAGTTGGAACTGAAAAGTGCATGACTCTCCATAGAGTATCTAAGAGAACAGTAAAGAACTGCTGCCACTCACTGCTTCCCCTCCCTACTTGCAGTAAAAAGTCTAAGTCGATGCCATTACTGTAAAATCTTCCTTCCCCTGTTGTCACCAATATACGGACAGATTTACTCCTTAAACAAAATAACAACATTACGTATTCGTTTTATCTTATTTCAGTGACAAAATCATATAATAGGTAAGGCATAGTTTGCTTTTTCTTTCCCTATCTAGAACCCTCTATGAAATGACAGTGTTCCTTACCCGATTCCTCTATGTTTATGGCGTCTATAATCCGCCATATGAAAACAAACAATTTATAATCGTAAGAGCACATGCCATTAATTTCTATCGACTTATACATGACTATCGAAATGCTAACAAAGAATACATAGCGGAAAAAAAATCATAAACAAAAAGTATATATTCATTGTGTACATGTGTGATACATACAAGTAGGCTGATGAATGTATTTAGCTTGGGTATACCTCTCAACTTCATCCAGAGCGTCATTTAACTGTTTAAGTGTTGTAAGATTCCATCGATTTTCTCCGTTTCTCATGGTCAGTAAAGCACATCCATCTTTATGAATTTCTACCGTTATCCCCATGTTTAAGTTGAACACAACAGGTAGCCCTACGACCCCTCAGTGTATCTTTTAGCATCTAAACACTGATCTTTAGACTTTTGGGTGAAATCAACTATGGAAGGACGTGAGTGTTTTCTGAAATTTTTTGTTTCAATTCTGAAAGTTATTCACGGTCCACTAGTCCGAAGGTTCTCTAGTCCAACGGTCCACTAGTCTAAAGGCTCATTTGTCCGAAGGCCCACTAGTCCAAAGGTTAATTAGTCAGAAAAACCAATATAGTTCGTAAGTTAAACAGTTCAAAGTGTCCGGCTCTGTGCAATTGTTCTATATTGTACCTTAAGGAGGGATTCTCCTAATATTTCCTGTATTTAAAAATTAAAAAAATTAGACAAGAATCCTTCTTCAAGAAGTCCCTGAAGTTTGGGGTTGATTTTGTTGTTGTTGTTGTTGTTGTTTAACGTCCCTGTCGAGAATTTCTCAGTCATACAGAGACGCCACCACTTGCCGGTGGAGAGCTGCAAAGAACCACGCACGCTAACTCTCGATTCCCTCCTACATTTTGCACCCATTTAGTTCCATATAAATGGCAGTTTGGCTATTAAAACTTGATTGAATGCAAAGAAGAGTTCATTATTATTTAATTAATAATTCTAAAACCAGTGTCAAAAACTTAATTGCTCCTATTTACGACTCTTTTCAAAAGGGGGTTGAAAATTTTATTCATTGAAATCAGGCTTTAAAAATAGTTCGATTTCCAAAACGCATGGAAATGGATATATGACCCTTAAATCTTTCCGTATGTTTAACTAATGTAAAATTCAACATAAATGATTTATAAAAGACCTTTTTTTATTTGTAATCTCAGTTGAAATTGTTAATAAAATGACCAATTTTGGAGTTTTTTGTCTGTAAACATATGCCCCCCCCCCCCACCCCCATGAAACAACAAAAGCTTTGATAGGAATTTGTGAAATAATGATTTATAAAACCCGGGGGAACGTTTTTAAAAAAAAATATTTTTCGTTTTCCGATGATTTCTATAGTGATAAATGCTATTTTTACCCAAATAAGAGTTATCTCTCTTTGTTTTCCCAAATAAGTTATATTTCATGAAAATTCACATAAATATCTATATAACTATAAAAAATCATTCAAGTATGATAACTTTTGAAATTTGACTTGGAGGTAGGTGGCAGAACAATACTATCGTTCGCAGTTCTTTTTGACCTATACTCGGCACTCAGGGCCATTGAGCAGTGCCAACACCTACTGTGACACGAGACCTCGGTTTGTGCGGTCTCATTCGAAGGACCGGTCTCAACGTCCCGCAGTGGGATTCGAACCCGCGCGGTAAGGATCAACTCCTTACTCCGCGACTCTAGAGCAGACGCTCTAACCACTGCGCCACGCAGGCGACACCGTTCATGTGAATAAAGTTAATAATAAAGACTTTAAATCACTGGCTTTGAAAAGGCAAAAATTTAGGGATCTTCGACCTTTCAACTGGCTTCAAAAATTCATTAATATTATGCATTTTGTGGAAGATTATGACCTTAACACTTTGTCAGAATGGATTAAATGTATCAGATGGATGTTGAAATCCCGCATTATGCCATCGAGGGGTAATATGAAAAACACCTATCTCTCTGTCTTCACTAATTTAGAAGTGAAAAAAATTAGATAGATTACACGATCGATATATACTGGTCCCAGCTGACAAAGCAGGTAACAACATTGTCTTTGTTTGTAAGGCTCATCATTTTAATTGAATTTTAAATGAAACAAGATTTAATTCTGCAAGTGGTTATCCAACTTATAGTTCCCTTTCAAAGGAGGAATTCTTCAAAATCAAATGTTCGATTTTAATATTTTTGATATTCTCAACAATCAGATTGAATTTGAATTTGGATTTACCATACCTATCCTGGATTCCAAAACTTCATAAGAATCCTTACAAACAAAAATGTATAGCGGGTTTCAGTAAATGTTCTAACAAACCTCTTTCTTTAATCCTCACCAATATATAAACAGCGGTGAAGGCGAAACTTCAGGAGTACTGTACAACAATATATTCGCGAAGTGGTGTTAATCAGATCAGAACTTTAAGAAAATTTGAAATTACAAAATTTTACCAAAATCATTCACATCTAAACGTACGATTTTTCAACTCTTTTCACAACAATTCCCCACAATAAATTAAAGTGTAGGCTTCACAGATAGCTGCCTTTAAAAAATGAAACTCGTATATTTAATATTTTGTCCTTCTTAGCAAATACAATCTATCTTTTGTCGAATTTAAACTGACGGTTTCATGCAAATTATTAGGTCATTATTCTTAATAACTACGTCCGCATCCCAGTTAACTTGAAATAAACGATACCACAGAGTCTGACACATCTGTTTCATATTTGGATACTTTACTAGAAAAAGACGCTAATGTTAATCTAACAGCAAAACTTTATGATTAACATGTTGACTTCATCTTTTCTATCATTAACTTCCCTTATTTGTGTAGCAATATTCCCTTATCACCTGCATATGGGGTTTATATTTCACTGTTGAATCGATACGCAAGAATATGCTCTACGTACTAACAATTTCTAAAACGAGGCAAGCTATTGACAAACAAGTTGATGAGACAAGGATATAAACAGTCTTCTCGTTTAGAGTCATCATTTCGCAAGTTCTATGGTCGATACCGTGACCTTGTCAGCAAGTACAATCTATCATTGAGTCGAATGCTGACTGACGTTTTGCATACCAATTGTTAGACTATTATTTACACACTGAATTGTCTACGGATTTTTCCGTTTGCCCGATTATAACAAGGAGCACACAGCGGGTGTGGCCGGGCGATAGGGGATGCTTGCTCCTCCAAGGCACCTAGTCCCATGTTGTTTTAGGGGTTCGTGTTTGCTTTTCTCCAGATTTGTATTGTTTCAACGGACTTTTTGGCTTGAATACGTTTCGTTGTTTCCATATATCATCAAAACGTTAAAACTCTTCAATCTCTTATATAGTCATATCTCACTTTAAATTTTTTTATATTTTGTGATTGTCATCTACAAAATTACTTTCAAAAAATCATTCTCTATCTACATACAAGTAGTTTGAGGTTTATATTAAAAAGATGCTGGGGTTCCACAATGATACTATCTATATACTAATATATGTGTAGTCTTGGTCTTTTAATATTATGTTGCAATTTCATTGGCACTTATTGTGCCCCTTCACAACATACTTTTATATTCTTATACATGAAGCAGACATTTTTAGAATCATCTATATCTAAAATATAACGCAGTGGTTTTCAATTCAAAATAAACGATATATAGACATCATTTCCAAATTCCAAATAAAAGACACCACAGAGTCTGTTACATGTATATACATTAATGGTCAACTAACAACTAAAACTTTATATCAAACGGGAAGACCTTATCTATTCATTTAACTTTAACTTCCCTATTTATGTAGCAATATATATTCCAATACCACCTGCACATGGTATTTATATAAAAACTTCTGAGTACTGGATTGTGGAATGAGAATACAGATATTTAAAAGTCCAAAGAAGGAAAATGTAAACAAACTCGAGAGCTGGCTAGATAGCCGAAGGACTTATAGTTTCAGGTCACCATTTAATCGCGTACAGTAGTGATAAATTAAAAAAAAAAAAATTTAAAAATATTATTACGAAGATTCCACTATAACTGAACATGAGAAAAAAAATGTTTGAGTACCTCTCCAATCCTGAGAAGAAATATATAAACAATTTTAGTGATATAATCAATAAAACTCCTTTCCTATCTTATTGTTTTTTTTTTTAAATTTTGGATCAGTATATAAAGCCTTTACCACAGGTAAAATTCAAAACAAAATTAACTATAAGAAGCATAGAAAAATATATATATATACCTTCAAAATTTAAGAAAATTAGTGGAAAATCAGGAAGTAATTTTTATTTTAGTTTAATTATTTATGTCGATTAGCAGTGCTTAGACAGGCCTCTAAAATTTAGGCGGCAGCTGGCGTCTTATCAAAAGCAATCAGACGCCAATGCAAATTTTTAGTCGCCAGGTAATTTTTTAAGGCACCAAAAGTTATAATAGTAATTAATATAGGTAACAATGAGGTGACTAAGAAAACATGACAGGTCCATTGCTTAATATGATTTCCTCTTCTTATAAATTTCTTTTCGCTTTTTCAGAAAAATTGTTAAAAATTTTAAAATTTCCGTAATCCCACGATTGCCAAGTTGAACTCAATTTAAAATGGTCGCCATTTGGCGACTTATGAAAATTTTTTAGGCGCCAATCAAAACTTTTTGGTCGCCAATTAGAGCCCTGTGCTACCATGCTATATCTTAATGGTATTATGTCTTGATACAAAAAATGAACAATTAAAACTTTTGAATAGAGGTGGGCATTACATGCAATGAAACAGTCATTTTTCATTCGAAAGGATTTGAAATGTCCTTGCTCTTAAAATAAGATGGTCACTTGAAACTGAAATGACATAATTACAGGTAAACTTCGGTATCTCGACATCGGATATGTCGACAACCTGGGATATGTCGACATCCTTCCGCGGTCCCGGCAGTATTTACTATATAAATGATTTGCAAAAACTCTGATATGTCGACCTCGGTAATGTCGACAACCCGGGTTATCTCGACGTATATTCACAGTCCCAAGAGCAAAATTTACCTGGCATATGTCGACATCGGCAATTTTCTGCTCTACTGAACCTAACTGTTTGTCAGACAGGGTCGCTCGTCACGCACGGACAACTCTGGGTATCTCGACGTCGTCAAAGTTTCACACCCATGTTTTGACTGTACGCTGCTTAATTAATTTTATAGACTGTGTTTGTAGGTGAATCCCAAGCCCCTTCGGCGTCTTTGAGAAGTTAATTGAGCTTGGCTAATATCATTGCTAAATCTACACGATTCTGCGTAAATGTACAGAATGTTATTTATATCGAAACGTAACATAACTTTTAAATTTGAAAAAGATAACTAAATTACAATGAATAACAAAAACACACTGAAAATTCATACTAAGGAATTAAAAAAAAAGTTTTAATGATATTTTGTAGTTAAAATGTATTCAACAGGAAACAATCCAATTAACGACACGATTGACAGAATCAGTCGTAATTCGTGCATCCGTAACATCACTACATTAGTTTAGATACACAAATCTCTTTAAAAAAATTAATTTTATTGTACATTCTTTCTGAATGAAATAAGAAAAAAATAATCCGCATTTATTTATTTTTTTTTACCGTATATCGGATGTCGACTTTATACGGTTCGAAGTTTATAGAGCGCATTTCGTATCCTGTTCTGACGAAAAGGCAAGTTACACTCGAATGCAGCTCAATGCTGTAACTTTGTGCTGAAACTTTGTGAATTTAGAAAGATTTCGATAAGGAACACGTTTTATAAACAAGATTTTTAAAATAACTTCTTAGATTTTTAATAAAAATAGAGGGAATTCTGAAATATGTTGAGCTACAGTCTATATTAAAGTCATGTACATATAATAAGCTTGTCTGTTTTGCTATGCAATGAAATCTTGGACGTCAAGTCTCAACTCTGATATCTCGACACCTCGGATATCTCGACATTTTCCGATGGTCCCGTCGATGTCGAGATAACGAAGTTTACCTGTACTTTGTGTTATTGTCCCACTGATTGTATGAACATGAATTTATAAATAAATGCAATGAATATGTGAGGAATTCCTCCTTAAGTTTAACGTTTTGGGTAGCTCTTTCACAGCTTTTTTTTACAATCAGAAAAACGATGAATATGTCTGCACGACATTTACTAAATAAAACAAAAGAATTATGCATCAAAAACAAATTTTATTTACACATGAGTGTTATCCAAAAACAGCAATCTGCAACTAAATGAAAATGATAATTAACACATGTTTACAGATCAACACTAAATCCTGGAAAATTTAGAATGAAGTCCTTTACTTATAGTGAATACTTTTTAATTTTCAGATTTAAACTGTGCATTATACCAACCTCAGTAGTATCCTTTTCCAAAACCACCTCCAAGTCCGCCAAGACCACCGCCTAGACCACCTCCAAGTCCACCTAGACCACCTCCAAGTCCGCCTAATCTTCCAAATCCACCGAGTCCGCCTAGTCCGCCAAGACCTCCACCAAGTCCGCCAAGACCTCCTCCCAGACCTCCTAAGCCATATCCTCCTAAACCTCCATATCCACCTCCTAAACCTCCATATCCGCCTCCTAAACCTCCATATCCGCCTAGTCCTCCATATCCTAAACACGGAGATACACATTGTATAAAAACATAGAAAAGCTTCATATTCTAATCAGGTAGATATACATAGTATGAAAGGCATAGAAAGGCTTTATATTCGAAACAGGTAATATATATATATATATATATATATATATATATATATATATATATATATATATATATATATATATATATATATATATATATATATATATATATATATATATATATAGTGTAAAAGACAAAGAAAAGTGTATAAAATAATATAAGGTTATAGGAATTTGTAAAACTGATTGTAAAGGCTTTATCATTGTTAAAACGTATTCATCATTAAGTTTTCCTATTAAGCAATTCTTATTCTCTCTTTAGGAATATTTTAATACAAAAACTTGGGAGAATACAGAAATGAAAATGGATTTATTGGAAAGCTTCGAAATTGTAAACTACTTAAGATAAATATTCTAAATTATGTTTGTATTATTTTCCTCTAAATAAATAGATATTTTTACACTGTTCTCCTGTTCGCACGAATGTGCGTTAAATATTTGAATTGTAGTAGATTTATACGTAGTAAAATAATGCAAATTTAACTAACGCGAATTAAATTGCGTTCACACGACAGTTTATGCGAAGTAAACTAATACGCAATAGAATTTTTTTTTTTTTAAAAAAATAGGATTTTTATGACATCATTTGAAAAACATGTCAGCTAATGCAGAGCAGAATCATATTTGACGTAATGTCATAGTGCCTGTACACATTTGTAGTGATGAACTTAAATGTTCCTTTGTTTTTCACTCAAAAGTAGCATAAATACTTATATCTTACAACCGATATAAGTCATATGGCTTAATTTTTCCACAGGGTATATTACGATTTAATTCGAATGCGCTTCGCTTTACACGGACACAGTAAATTAATTCGAATTAATCCAATTCGCATAGATTTTCCGTTTAAATTTAATTTTCAGTAACTTACGTTAATACGAGTTAAAGTTTCCCTAAGAACAGGGCATTAGAATAAAAGCCTTAGTCATTATTTTAAATGCACGAAACAAATGAAATAAACTTAATTTCAATTTAAACGTAACTGATTGAAACAATGTAAATATACAAGTAATATTTCCTGTTTATATAAGAACATTGCTTATAGGAATTTAAAATACTAAAACATAACGATCTGAAAATCCTAGTTAAGATATTTGATTAACTTTGATTTACAACAGTGAAAACTTTGATACAATAGTCAACTAAAGTAATTTACTATAGTACTTTTTTTGTTAGGGTATACTTTTTTAAAAAAAAAATTTGGTCAAGGAAAACTTTCTCATTTCTTTAAAGATGAAAAGGACATTTGAAATGGATAAAAATGATAATGATCTTTACCTCCTCCAAAGTATTTGGCATTAACAGCTGAAAAAAAAAGCATAAAAGGTAGAAAAATTTGAGAAAAAAATAATTAAAACAATTTTACATATAGTTAAAATATTCCATATTATTAATTTAATTATTATCGTAATGCATAATTCATCAATTTACATATATATTTATATAAACTGATATAAAATTATTGAAGCCAACTAAGAGGAAAATAAGATGACATAATTTACCATAAAAAAATAAAAATTTAAAGGTTTTTTTTTTTTTTTTTTTTTTTTTTTTTTTTTTTTTTTTTTTGAATTAGCAGTTACGATTTTACAGAATTAAAATAATTCTTACCACATAGTGCCAAAGCAAGGAAAAAGAGAGATCGAATCATGGTCAAGTGTTTAGATGTAAATTCTACAGAGATTCACTGACTTATATACACAATGTGCAGTAAAATCACGTGTAATTTATCGTTTTTGTTTATTAACATCAAAAGATGTATTTATGGTTTTATCATGTTAATGTCATGTAATAATGAAATACAAAAACAAATAGTTTTGAACTCCTCGCGCGCCCTTGTTGAAACAAATAAAATCGATGTTATTTGCTCACGTGATCACAAATTGAACATGATAGAAGTGCGCAAAAATAAAATTTTTGTTGATTGGATGTTTTTAAGTACAAAATAACCTCAGTTGATTAACTATTTTCCGGAAAAGTTCATGAATGTCAATAGGACATTTGTTGTAATTAAGATGCATTGAAATTAATTTGACTGCGGAATGGAATTTACTACGAATAAAAAGTGCGACGTATTACCATATTCATTTTTTTCCTGACAATACTAGAAAAATAATACTTTTTTTTATAATTTCTATCGATGTTGTATACTCAGCATCAGTTTTTCCTGTCTATTATTTCTTTATAGAATGCTTTTTTCTCGTATTTTTTTTTTAAATTTGAGTTTTCTGAAGGAAAGGACATGCATTTGTGGATTTTCTTGTAAAACATATTTTTATTTGTGGAGTGTAGGAACTTCTAAGAGAAGACCCTGGATCAATAAAGAGAAGTCAACAAACAACAACAATGAAGCTCTTTGTCATACTTCTATATAAGGTACATATAACATCTATTCAGAGAAACTATTTTTCTTTTAAAGAATTAAATATTTCATTTATCAACTTAATGGGAATGTGTTTGTTTTTACTTATTTCACATGTAAAGGGGTTATTATGCCTATGTGTCAATATATTTATCTCTCAATTTTTTTCTGTTAAATTTTTGTTCAATTAAGAACTCATAGAAAGTTCGAGGTGTTAGACTACATATAGGAGATACTATATACACACTTAAGTATATCCTTGTATATATATTAAACATACTTCTTTGATAAATCATGGAACTACACTTTAAAGCAGATGCTTTAAATGTCATTTCAAGATTACTGCATGTAAAAGTATTGATATGAAAGTAGGTACACTTTATTTTCAAATACAGGACTAGAAGTCAAATTATGATACAAGAGAACTGTGAACGATAGTATTGTTCTGCCTCCTACCTCCAAGTCAAATTTCAGAAGTTAACATATTTAAATGATTATTCATTTTTATATAGATATTTATGTGAATTTTCATAAAACATAACTTATTTGGGAAAACAAAGAGAGATAACTCTTTAATTTTGGTAAAAATTGCTTTTTTCACTATAGAAATCAACGGAAAACGGAAAATACTTTAAAAACATCTTTTCACCCCGTGAAACAAAAATTCCTTTTCAGAGGAACTTTAATTTAATTCTACATTGCAATTAAATTTAAATAATCTCAATAATCATACTACTTTCAATTACCATACTTATACTGGATTTCTAAACTTCATGAAATCCTTACGCAAAACTGTGCAGCAAGGTGAGGTTTAATTTGGATAAAAACAATTTATACAGGATAGATTTGGAATATTTTAGCCTGGTAAGTTCTACAACATCATTTGCACTAGTACATGCGAGGATCTGTGTAACTTTTCACAAGTAAGGAGTTTTTGACTTTGTTTACAAAATGTTTGCTACTTTCCATTATATTATATCTGTGTACTAGAGAACAGAGCGGACAAGATGCCCCTGATATCTGAATCCTACGAGATATTAAATTGTAGCATACATTTACATGCGAGTTTGAAATTCCCGAGCTAAGTTTATATTTTTACTCCACAGTATTACTAAGATTTATTTACTCGTGTCAATATAGGGCGTACTCTTGATTTAGCTTAACTTGGTGTACACTATTGTACACCGGTGTGAAAGGTGGTGTTGAATAGTCAACTGCATTTTACGAGGTGTAGTATATGTTTTGCATCTCGCCAGTGTTTGGCTACAATTTTTTTTGTTTTAAGTGAAAAAAAAATACATAAAGAATTGACTTAATCATTTAGAATGGTTAAAAAATAATTTTAATGTCATCAATGACACATAAAAGACAACTTAAATGTGATTTCTTATCCTTTATATTACATAAAATCATTTCTTAAATTTTCAATCGTACCATTCTCCGCCATATTGGATTCAGTGCTACAGCTTTCAAAAAAATGTCCTAAATTTGGTGTAAGAAAGTGTACATCGAGTGTACACCAAAGTCTACACCCCTGCACTTGATTAAGAAAGGTGTACACGGTGTAATAGGTATAAGTAAATCAAGTCCGCCAATAGATTTCGCCAAAATCCTACTGCTTGACATTATAATTCAAATACAACCCTTTTAAGAAGTAAATTCACATCTTCAAAATGTCAAGCTTTTGTAATAAAATTCTTTTTTTTGGGTATTCCATTTAGAATTAAAATGTTAATAAAGACGGAACATTCATTTTTGAAATAAACTTATTAAAGATTTCGCTTGTTGAACCAGTATTGATCTGGAAATAGTAAAGAAAGGGATTTTAATACAATTTATAGAATTATTTAGAATAAATTTCATTTCATCATTTTTAATTCTATAAGCATTATTTAACAATAATAGAATAGAAATAGAAAATCTCTTGATCTTTTCTTTAAAACACAAAAAATGATTTAAATTTGATAAGCTCTCTGTATGTTCAAAATAAATAAATAAAGAAATAAAATAAAAAAGAAATAAAAGTTATTGAGTCTCTCGGGTGCGTCGTTCTTTTCCCCTTTCTCTCAAACGTACACTGTTTAACATTTTCATTTCTAATCCAAAACAGCTCAATTTCAACCAGTTTTGGTGTATTAGTATATTATCAATGGATAAATAAAAATATACATAAATATTAAATTATATAATAAACTGCGAATTTTCATGGTCCCTGACTCCCTTGGGCCTGATGGGAGTGGACAAATAAAGTGTAATATGAGCGAAGAAAGCTTTTAAAGAATCTCGCAGGTAGGTTAAGGCTTCCCGTAGAATATGACAGTGCACTCTGTGCCTTCACATCTCTGAACTACCAAAATATGACGTCATAATGGAAAATGACGTCAGGTCACTGCAAACTTGAGGTGTTATGACGGGGAGAGTGTCATGAACTTAACACTTTATTTCAAACTACATGTAAAATGCTAAAAAGCTATTGCAAAATTCATGGGTCGTTAAAAGTTTTTTAAGTCTTACATGTCCGAATATTTTAAAAATACACTGCTTACCTACCCTTGATTGAAATTCATCATGTTCAAAATGCTTATGAAAAATATACTTTTGAAATGTACTCTGTTTTATACCCGTGGTTGGAGGTAGAATTTATTTTGTGTGTATAAAAGAGTCTGGCGCAGGTGATTAATGAGGATTAATCTGAGAATTTTTGTGGAAATCTGTAAGAAGACGTTGTTCTCTAACTGAATCTTGCTTGGGAAAAATGTGTGTTGGCTTTGCTTTAATACAGATTACGATATTGTGTGGAAAATACCCTCAAATTTGTAGGTAAGTTGAATTTCTCAGAAAATATTTTGTACCCAAGTAATACTATGACTTTTCCCAAGCACAATTCGGATACACAAGGATACGATGAATTTATTTATATAACAAAATGTTAATAATTATTGTGTTAATCAGCTGCGCCGAAGCGATTTATATGAAACACTTCAAAAAATTATAAATGACCGTCACGTGATCAACAAAATCATGTGATATCATAACAAACATGCTAATATATAGCCGAGGAAACCCTTTATATAAATTGGAAGTACTAAAGTTCAATACTTATAAATTAAAACCAAAACCGACCTCGCAATGACATATTATGTTTTGAGCGCATTTTAAAGCTTCGGGAAGCCTTAACATAGCTGTGCTCCTTTAATTATGCACATCTAGTAGACAAACGGTTTGCGTAATCATAATCCCTATTCAATCTTTCAACAAAACTGTTGAAACCAAGTTCCCTGGACCCATAATGTTAGGTCTTAAGATGGGTATATTAGGCAATAATATATGAAAATATATTATACATCAAAATGCAAACTTTTTTCATGATTATAATAAACACAGCACTAAAAAAATGTTAGCTCCTGGTTCGAACAAAAGAGTTGGACTAAACTGGTGGTAAATTGAAAATGCATAACTCAATGACAAATCTTTACTCATGTTCATCTGTAAGGCAAATGTTGCACAATTACAATGAGGATTTAAACCTTAACGGCTCATTGTCCTAGCATTTGAACCTAGTCTGAAGCCATGTGTTATTACAATAAATCCTAAGCTCCTTTCTATAGTTTTAAAATCTATGTCACCTGTACCCAGTGCTCAGGTACCAGGGTGGGGCTAAGTTGGTCATGCATCAAACTTTATTATAGATTGTGCCTCATCTTCTTTAAACCTGAACATCAAGGAGGCATTATTCAATCCTCTCAAATCTATATTTATTTGTGAGATGAGAGGTGTATTTTTGATGTATTAAATTTGTAATAGATTTCAGAAACTCTTGATACTCAGGTGACTGTCATTTTTATTTTTTATTATTATTATTACAATATCATTAAATTGTTAAAATAAATAAGTTTAATCACTTTCACAGCGACATCCCCCTCTCTCAGGTTTTCTATTGATAAAGTCATGTGACCAATTATAAACATTATGACTGAACATTAAGGAGATACATGTAGAACAATCTAATTTTTATAAATTTGTGTCAAGTGGAGATAGAACAAACTATCAATGTAAATATATCTTCTCATTTTTGTTCAAAGAAAAAAAAATCGTAGGTATATAGATCTCAACAAGACGATACCAGTGATATGCATAGCTCTTGTTTGATCATTTTGGTTTTTAAAACATTTCAATTCTCAGCCAATGTACTGATAAATACAATGTTCTTATCAAAATCTGACTAGTGCATTTTGAATTTTGGAAAGGAATACGATTCTTCAAAGTTTAGATACGCCGATTGTTCGTGGAATCATGTCTTTCTTCAT